CGAGGGCCGCGCGGTTGGCGGCCAGGAACGGCAGGTAGGTCTCTCCGCAATGCTTCAGCAACGCCGTCACGCCGTCCGGCAACGGCGCATCGGCCGCAAGCCATTCACCCTCGACGCCCGACGCATCGTCGAGGCGCAGCAGCCAGCAATAGACGTCGGGCGCGCGCCGCCGCATCTCCTCCATCGGCGTGGGATCGACCGACAGGATCTGGAGCTGGCCGAACAGCCCGAAATCCGCCAGCGACGGGCGCGAGCCGAACAGGAACTCCATCTTGCCAACGTGGGATTCGAGTGTGTCGAGGATGAAGCGATAGCTGTCCTCGATGACCGGCCGGTTGGCATCGGTGCAGCCGACCATCGCCATCCGGCCGACCTGACGATCGTTGAAGGCCTGCATCGCTTCGCGCCGGTCGGCCTCCGGCATCTGCGGATCGCGCGAGGTGATCACCCAGCCCTGCGCGAATTCGCGGTCCGGTGCGTAGAACCAGCGATAGTGGAACATGATCTTGGTGACCCACTCGTCGCCGAAATCCTCCAAAAGGTCGCTGAGATACGCGTGCGCCGGATCGTCCGGCACGATCGAGCGCTGGCCGGGATGCGCACGCTCCAGCGCATGGGCGAGCGGCGTCGAATCGTTCATTACCGTGCCGTCGGGGAACGTCAGCGCCGGGATCACCGGCGGCAGGCCGGCCGCGACCGCGACGTCGCGCGGCCAACCGACGGCTTTCCAAACGAAGGGCAGCCGGCGGTAGCGCAGAATGGCGCGCATCTTCACCGAATAGGGCGACGGGCCGAAGCCGTGCAGGATGTAGGGCTGGTTGCTCATCTCACCACTGTCCGAAGAAGATGCCGTGCTGGCGATGCCTGGCGGTGCGTGCCTCGACATAGGCATCGTCGACCGTGACGCGGCTCTTGCGCGCCTTCGCCCAGGCGTTAAGCCGCTCCTCCATCTCGCGGAAGATCGGCGCGTAGGTGAGATCGCCGCCGAGGTCGCGACGCTCCCGGGGATCGTTGGCGAGATCGAACAGCATGGGCCTGTAACCCTGCCACCAGATGTATTTCCAGCGGTCGGTGCGCACCATGATGCCGCGGCATTCCGAGGGTTTGCGACCGAGTATCTTGCGCGCCTCGCGGAAGGAATAATCGAGCTCGGAGAAGACCGCGTCGCGCCAGGTGTCGAGATGGATCCTCCGCAACAACGGCAGCAGGGAGCGGCCTTCG